GTTTCGAGTTACTATTAAGGATGGAGTTAAAAATAGAACCGTAAAACATATATTAGGATATGATTAATTCATTATGATGTAATTCTGTAGTGTAACTTCAGAGGACTTGCTCTGTCAGGTACTCCAGTCAGTCAATACATTGAACGATAAGTGTTAACGATTCTTCTTTAACAATGAAATCCTTTACTTTGTAAACAAATACGCATAAACCTACATAATTAGAATTTAGAACTACACGCTATACGTTACAATCTTATAGCTGGTCTGGCAGCCGTAAGATTGCACACTATACATAGAGTACCAATCCAATGATTACCAATCTGATGAATAGCTACAGATAAGTTCAATCACATATCTCGGCACAGCTATCTCACGATACCAAATGTCTTTACTGTTGATACCAAGCTATGATAGGTATCGCACCCATTTATAATACCTATCTTTAATGTAGAATAACAGCTCATCGTACTCTGACTGGTAAAAATAATATCTACGAAAATACTGTAATAGTTTCCATGTTAGATTAATAATGGCTGGCAGTAAAATTTTTACTAATAGTAATCTGAATACGAGTAAAATAAGGAAGATATTGCTAGCCTGATTGTAGCCGCAAATGCTACGAAAGTATATGAGCTACAACTTAGAATATTTTAGTAATTCTTTCTATAAGTGTTTAGTAGTTGTATTAGGCTAGATAAAGCTGTACATACATTATCTTTGTATAAGATCTAATAAACTTCTAATTTTTTACAAATATTGGATTTTCTTAATCGGTTATATCACAGTAATATCCTTCGATTATTACTAAGTTTTGTTTATAGAATTTTGTATCAGTTTTTCATTCATCAAGATAGAGCAACGGTGTTTCATTACCTCAGATACTTGTTCCTATGATCTTATTACCAGGAATTTATCTTTCAATCAAGTATTATCAATAGCGAAATTACAGTTAAAAAATTTAACTTGTCTTACAACCATGTAAGTATGTTATTTCTATGGTAATAATGAATTAATGAAAAATAAAGTTAACACTGTTTACTACAGTAAATATTTGTGAAGTATTAACATTATTGCATAGTAACATAATCATCTTCATTTTTCAGTCACTTAAGCTTCAATCTGGTGCATAAGATTGAAGAGAATGATGTTTCAAACGCTATGGTAGCGAATAAAATTAGGTCACTGTAAGTTTTTCTTGATTATTTAAAAATATTTAACTTTAGATAATAGCCTTAACACGTGCGTTATATTTCAAAGCAATAATAGAAATCTGATCAATCACTTTGAGGGCTTTAGCTAATGATTCCATTAACATTAGCAGCTCTAAAGGAGCTTATTACCTTGTTTCTATTTCATGTGTTATGAGCCAAATCGCGCTATGCTATTATGATCTATATTTACATTCGATACCCCAACAGATTGCGCTTGCATAAAAACTTTTGTGACATTAAATGCCTTTTATCGTACTTTAGATATATTTTAACTTCGTTTCACACAAGATCCTCAAATTTTATCGTATTTAGGATTACTAAAGAGATAGGTGATGTAGAAGTAGAATAGACCGCAAATTTATTACTTATAATCTTAGCCAACTACAATTAAGTCTTTGGTACCGAGTAGCACAACACAAGAGTTACTAAGCATTACCAGACTAGAGCTCAGGTTCAGTTACATCTGCAGTAGATAAAAATTTGTTTTAAGGCTGTACAGACTGATTTATTTTCACGCTAAAGTTCATTCTTTACTCTAAGCAAATCAAAATAAACTATGCTGGTTCAGTCATGTTGTAATCAATATTCAATACCTATTGTATCTATCTTGCATAGTAGTCCATAATATAAAGATAACAATAATTACTCTGATGATTTCATTGCCATAGTTACCGCTATTCTAAAGCTACTGTCGAATATTAAAAGTTGAGTAGCAACAATTTCAGTAATTTTAAATTTCTTCACAACCGTCATAATTTGCTAAGTTGATTTAATTTTCAAATCCTTCCTTGCAAACAAATTTTGTCACAAGAATAACGCACTTGCAATAAAAACATAGACAATGCGAAGATAATGATGAGTGAACTAAATTTAAAGAAATATGGCATTTAACCCTTTAACTAACAAGTCTACTGAGATATAAGTACATTTCATTTTACTGTAACTAAATTTATATAACTTATTATGAGATTTGTCCAGCATTAGAAAGCATTAGTAGCAGCTGCGAATGATAATATCTTTAGTTTGTGCATGAATTTAGAAGACAAATTTGTACTTAATTCCTAGTCAGTACAGTAGTATTTATAGACATAAGCATTAGGTGACTTATTCTAGATAATCATTTTGCTGTGTACATAATTGGGATCGTACACCTAATAACATGCTATCAACTATCGTTTTGGATTATGATCGCATGGGACCCGTCCTGCAGCTGATTAATTATTCTCAACTATCAGATACGAAAACTAGCTGTTATACAATATGGCAATGTACAATTTACTTAAGCAGAATATTAGCGATAATGATTCTTAGTCTAAGTACTTATTCTTAATCTCAAAGAATTAGAATGTCCCCTGAACGAAATTTAGAAATTTATCCTACACGATAGTTTATACTGTGAGGCTTCGATACCGGCACTTTTCAAGACAGTAATTAGAGATCTATGTTTATAATCTTTAAAAGTGCCTGTGATATATACCAATCACGAAATTCCAAATTTTAGAAAATTAAGGGCTTTATTGAATCTTATACATAGATTAACTACACAGCTCTACTCTAGCCGAATACTACTTCTAAAGACTTCTACAACGAACTAACAGAATAATCTAAAGTTGCATGCTTTTATACTTTCCGTAGCATTCGCAGCTACAATCCGCATGGCAACCTTTTACCTTATTTTACACATAGTTAAATTATTCTTAGTAAGACTATTCTACTGCGGACCATCATTAATCCAATATGGATACGACTACAGTACTTACGTAGACATTATTCACACCAGCCAAAGTACAATGAATTAACCATATCCTAATATATGATTTACAGTTCTATTCTTACCTATAGCCATATTAGTAACTCAACAGCTTACTGTATATAGTCATCTGTACTCTAGCATAGCGTCTCTACCACTACAGTCTATAGTTACAGCTACCAAATATCTCTTAGGATAAATATCTACCGTACATTATACTACACATGGCTAACAGTCTACAATCACAATACTAAGTTACATTACATGCCCTATGCTTATCAAGTAAATCTGCAATTGTACCAAACATTTGAGTCATGAGTGTTTTTTGCTTCTATGTTCAAATTAAAATAACGAAGAGAAATTTATTAATTAAACCATTGATGTTCCTAATGACAAACAATTTGTGATTATTAAACTGGAGAATTACTGCATCTTAACTACTGTAGCGACATCTCTAACAATCGCCTCCAATATATGCATCCATTATCGTTTAAGAGCTGCAAAATGTTAAAGACCATGTAAGTACAGTCCGTAGTAATAGATACTTACCTAACTGTTATGCGAAAAAGTATATTAATAATCATCAATATATTTTAGCCGTTTCAAGTGTTAGCAGAGGATTTATACCAATATCTTTTTTTCGCTAGCAAAATCTCTGATTAATTATTAAGTCATTTTTGTTGATACTGTTTAAAATTTTAATTGCTTTGCTCATTCATTATTGATAATTTTTATGTAAGGATTATTCATAAAATAGAAATTTTTTGTTTGGTGTTGAAATTAGCAGGGATTACAGCTCTAGCTAAATAAACAAAAGTTTATGTGCTGATTAAATATATATCTGTGTTACGAGCTTGGAATAGCCCTAACTTGCAACAAGGATTGAGAGAGTGATTCTACCCTTTACTACTGTTACTTGGAATACCAGATAATTGATATTCCAAGGCAGATAGGGTTTAACGTAGGGAAACCTTCAAGACTTACTAGAAAATCACAATCTAATTTACTGTCGGCGAACTCGCCGTTTATGTAGGTTTCATACCTAAAACCGCTATAGCTACACAAGTCACCTCGTCTATCAGAAATTAACCGAATTAATACCCTAAAGAGATTCTATCTGTACGTATTAGACACAGTCTAATGCTATTAAATTTACGGTAACAAGATTAGAAAAATGCTTATAAACAGTTTAACAGATACATATAAAGCTATTCTACTTGGATATTTCCTCTAAACTTGGGAATTGTACTATGAACCTTAACAACTTGGAGGTGATAGATATAATCCAGTTTAGCTGGTTGGCAATTACTATAATAGACTATGTAATCCTAGATTAAGGATATCAACTGTTAACCACTAAATTTACAACTAAGAAGACCGTAAAACATTTCTGAGATCTAAACATATATAGAAGGTAACATAGGAATAAAGTATACGTCACTGTATTGGAACTAGTATTGTGATTATAGACTGTTAGCCATGTTTAGTACAATGTACGGTAGATATTTATCCTAAGAGATATTTGGTAGCTGTAACTATAGACTGTAGTGGTAGAGACTCTATGCTAGAGTACAGATGATTATATACAGTAAGGTGTTGAGTTACTAATAAGACTATAGGTAAAAATAGAAACGTAAATCATATATTAGGATATGGTTAATTCATTGTACTTTGGCTGGTGTGAATAATGTCTACGTAAGTACTGTAGTCGTATCCATATTGGATTAATGATGGTCCGCAGTAGAATAGTCTTACTAAGAATAATTTAACTATGTATAAAATAAGTCAAAAGGCTGCCATGCGGATTGTAGCTGCGAATGCTACGGAAAGTATAAAAGCATGCAACTTTAGATTATTTTGCTAGTTCTTTCTAGAAGTCTTTAGAAGTAGTATTCAGCTAGAATAGAGCTGTGTGTAGTTAATCTTTGTATAAGATTCAATAAAGCCCTTATTTTTCTAAAATTTGGAATTTCGTGATTGGTATATATCGCAGTCACGAACATTACTTTCGTGACAGTCTGTAAGATAAAGGTCAGTGAATGACAATATTACTGCAAAATAAGCGACAGAAGAATATGTAAGTAGCCAGCATTGCGATAAGATAACACCGAGATCAAAAATCTACAAATTCACAATAATTTGTACACTTATGGCTTTACGTTAAGTAAAAATAAAGAACTGATGTTGTTTAGCCTGTCACGGTACGAGCTACCGTGAAGAATTAAATAACTAAATTTGGTGAAATTTAATATTTATGTACCGTCGTTATAATTAAATACTTACAGCATAAATCACTAAAGTTATATTATGCCAGAGTAAATTATATGTTGCGCTATAGCAATATCTCTTATATCGTCTCCGACATCAGTACAAGCTGTTGTGGTTGTAATTTTGACTTACAACAGGTCTTAGTTGTACTAAATGATTCTATGAATGGAAATACAGCAGTCTAATCATCCAGAATTAGTTCAAATCGATTAGATATCCAAGACAAGAAATACTTCTGTATTAATTTGGCTATTACGTTTAATGTTAGCTACTGCTGAAGGGTATAACAGCTCAGTAGGTACATATTTCAAATTAATAGCAAGCTATAAAGTAGATATTGGATCGAAAAAAGAAAAGAATAATTACTTCACATTGTTTATTTGCATCAGCACAGCGGTCATAATTGCAAGCAGCTGCAACTTAGTTGCTATCAAACTTTAGGCTTTTTACTGATCTAATTTGCTTATATGAATCCTCTATCAACTGCAGCAATAACCACTCGATCAGTAATTCTACGGTTTAGACGTATCATTGCTATCGTTCAGTACATTTGGCGTATTGTATGAGAACTAATTCATCCGTGGATGCGGTAAATTCTTAAGGTACTCCGACTAATGTACTAATTGGACTTCTTCTACACAAATAATCAATACCTGACCGATATCTGTTAGTCTTAGGTTACTCATTATTTGAGACCAAGTAATGATTCAAAATGACGTTAAATATTGTTTGATCTTGCGGTCTAACTGAGACAATATAGATCACAACAGATCTCACTACTGAACGTAACTAAATCAAACGGCGCACACGATTGGGCTTAGATTTCTCAAACAATTACAATTACTTGTAATTAAAGATAGCTGGCAACTACTACCTCCAACCCTGATGAGTTGACTGACTAGAGTCGAATTAGTAGAATCACTAAAACCAAAACCAACAGCTGTAATGTCGTATAAATCTTTAAATATTATGAGTAAAGACGTACAGTACTACTACGCGTTAGTGCGGTAAAACTAATTATCACAAAGCGATCCGAACTGTATTCGGTCAAAATTGTAATAAACATGAATAGCTATTACTACAGCTTAACTGAAGAATTATTTTTTTGGTTATTACGTAGGCCAATTTGCTATCAGTTTTATTGATATTTTTGCTCGTTAAATCTGATGGTTGACTTTATAATTACTCTTCCTGGTTTTAATAGTAATTTCACGCACTGACTCTACGTAATCATTGCATGTACTTACTTAAGGAAATTTATTATTCTTCAACTAGGTATATAAATAATAATGGAATTAAAAATCTTGATTTTTTGAAATTTGTACCAAGCCTGGAAAAATTGTAAGTTTGCAATAAGATCTTAGATATAACTTTATTCTACACAAGCTCAGAATGATAAGATTAAATGTCTAGATAATACAAGTCAAAGAACCGTACTTTTGATTCATAATCTCACATTGATTGTAACGTTATGAAAATAATATTACCTATATGCACTGTAGTATATTACTAATTATTTGCTATAATTAACAAAGCAATTTATTACTAACAGTAAATCGAAAATAATAGAGGTCGAGATTACTAGACAAGAACGCCTTCTTTTTACGTTTCTAAAATTAGGTTAGCAAGATCGAACAAAATTAATACGCTTAGTCACAAAATTTTTAATCCGCTAAAGAATTTGAAGACTTTGTAAGTCTAAAATCAATCCTAATTTCAGACAAATTTTACTTTTGTTCTTAAAATTCAGTAGAGTAAGCGCTTAGATGTGCCAATGAATTATGTAAAAGTAAATGGTAATAGGATAGATAAGATATTTTAGACTAAATACACCAATAAATTGAGTTAAACTCCGTTCGTAGAATGATTGTTCTACCAATTATAGATGCTTATATTTCAATAACTAAATAATGAGCCTCTACTCTATTATTTGATAGTATTTTGATATTAACTTATTCGTGCTAGTTAATTTCTTAACACCTATAGTTCAGAAATAGATTAAAAAGTTTAATTTAATTATTTTACTCGTATAGCTATATTTATTTGCCAATCTCTAACAATTTCTACGATAATTTAAGCTAAAATCAAGCTATTTAAATTTATCATAGGGATGTCTCTTCAAATCCTATCCATCATTTAAGTTACGAAGCCTTTTCTAAACTATCAAATTTATACAATCTGTAAGGTTTTCATGTCTTAATTGAATATACCGTATGTTAGTTTTCCTAATTATTATCATCCGGATCTACGTAGTCCATCATTCTCATACAAATTTAATTGAACTAACTTTTATGTTTATTTTAGTTATTTAGAAAATATTAGACTACGAAGATTAGATCAAATCAATTTAACTAACTCAAGCAACTTACAGTCACTGTAGGTCGTATTTTCGTAGTAGTTATGATATTTGTTCATTATGATTAATTAATTAATGAATATTCGGTTACCTTGAAGATCTATAGCATCTACGAATTTGTACATGTGGTAAAATACAAATATATTAATTATTACGCCGTTAACTTTTTATTCGGTAAGGATATTAAGAAACAACGAAATAACTGATCTGCAGCGTAGAAATTTTGAAGGTTTACGGGAATTAAGACTGCTGTAAGTCCGCATAAATTCGTAAAAACGCTAATACCTGAGGTATTAATTTATGTGCTCGGCACTGATGAAATTAGCTAAAATAAGCAAGAGATAAATATCTAACTTTTCAGTACGGTATTAAAGAGTACTAAAAAATGGCACCATAATCATAGTTTATAAATACCCGCTTGAAATACTCTAATAAAATCTAATTAGGGATTTATCGAAAAATGGAATATCATACATACCTAATGACACCTTCGTACCTCTTAAGAACTTAACCACGCTGTAAGCATTAAGCTGCTATAAAGTACTAACATTAATTAGGGAATATAAAATAATTTCACATTTATCATAATTATTATTAATAACTACAGCAAGGTGCTAAGATAGAAACTTCATGAACTTGTAATTTTATTATTTATAAACAATTTGGGAGCTTAAAGTAATTTATATCTGCGTAGGCTGTTCGACGATAACCGTTTAACAGAATTTGATGCCAGTATCATCTGTGAAAATACTAACATAAAAGAATTGTAAGCAAATCATTATGTTTAGGCTTATAGGTTCTACGAATATTATCGCTTGCTAAACCATTTTCCACCAGCAATAATATAGTAACTACTAGCATTAATGTGCTTCAATGCAGAAAACTTTTGGGTTATTAGTTTAACTGTTATTGAAAGATGCTTATGGTAGATTGAATGTGAACGATATTAAATTCTATATTGATCGAGCACTGACAACTCTTTTAAAATGAATATTAATTCAATCACTAAAAATAATTGTTAAGAGCAAGAAACAATCCTAACTTGCAACAAAGATTGAGAGTGTTTTGAATCTTTATGACTATAAATTAGAATACCAATCAGTCGATATTTCATTTAGATATAATTAAAATTTAGCTCAGAGACCTTAGATCTATGATGTCATACATTCATTTATAGATAAATACTAAGTTTTACAATGTTCTGTTAGTACTATTAACAAATGTTTACGTAAATCAACTATGAATCAACTGATTTTTTGATAACGCTCAGGTTCAGTTTTACCTTAACAATTGCTAGTGGTTACTATTCCTCCTGACTATAGGAAATCGTTAGCATTTAGATTCATATTGTGGGTAGATATTAGTGAGAAAAACCTTACACTAGGCTCGTAGTGGTAGTTTTCTGTGATAATAAAACTTTTCGCCATTACAAATTTTTAACAACCACATATCTTTATTATTCAAATGCATATTGAATTCATGATAAAACGCTATATGGTAATCATTATCGCGTATTTTAATAATTTTTTAAGCGGAAAGCAAAATAAAGCTTTCTAATTTTCATGTCAGATATGTTTGTTTAACATCAATTTTTTGTCTAAATTGTAACACATCTGACTCATTAATACATTTTATATTTTAGAAGTTTTCAATCAAATCAGATTCATACTATGGTAGATAAAAGTTGCATTGGCGGATATAAAAGATTAAATATTATGTTAGTACTACCAATCAACCTATAAATGCAATAAATCAATCAATTAATTTATTTTATTTGGGCAATTATTTCAGCTATAAACTTGAAAATTAATCAAGTTTGTATCTTATACGCCTAGCAATGATGGCAGTCATAGCTCATTTGCATACTGCAAGATTTTTGTTAGATTACTAACTGATCTAAAACAATTTCTAAATTCTTGTAAATAGAAATTTCAACAATAATTCACTGGATGATCGATTCAGTAGAGCACTAAATGCCATTAAAAGTGAAGTTTTGATAAATTTATATGACCTGTAAGATATCTCTCATACTCAGGCCTACTATTACGTTACCCATTTTAAGCAACATACACTCGAAGAATTATTGTGTATTTGCACTAGAAATATCGGTCGAAACAAGATTGCTCATTTCCCGGAAGTACTTCTTCGCGCTACTAAATCAAATTTACGTTTCATGTAAGCTTAAAGTGTAATCAGTAGTTAAAGAAATACAAGAAAGTGTGGCAACTTGAAATCTAAATAATATTTGATTTGAGATTAACTTTGGAAGTTTATTATTTGTTTCGTTTAACGTTATTTTTAGAAATATTGGCTTTAATAAGATTGGCAGAATAGATGTTACGAAAATTATTAGTGGCTTTCAATATTTTAACTATATTGAGTGTAAGACTAATAAAAGGCGTATCTGTCGCTATTACTCCCTGTAAGTATTAGTAACTTCACAATAATTGCATTTGCTAAATTGTAATAGCGGTCTAATATACCTTTCTAGATACTTTCTGAAACATAAATCATTAAAAATAACTTACAGTACAGTAGTCATCACTAACAGAGTAGTTAGGGTCAGAATGAGTATATAAGAACTAAGTACATTTAACTACTACATTTCAGCAACATTGCAGGAAGTAATTTAAGTTATCTAGAGTCAGGAACTTTTGCTCATATTCAAGATAGTATGGGAGCATTGTAAGTTTAATTTCCATCTGAGGTTCAATCCTGTATTTATAAGCTAATAAAGCGATACTTTGTAACGTCTACTAGGACATTGTATCTTAAATATGCGTATGTAATGTAACTTAGTATTGTGATTGTAGACTGTTAGCCATGTGTAGTATAATGTACGGTAGATATTTATCCTAAGAGATATTTGGTAGCTGTAACTATAGACTGTAGTGGTAGAGACGCTATGCTAGAGTACAGATGACTATATACAGTAAGCTGTTGAGTTACTAATATGGCTATAGGTAAGAATAGAACTGTAAATCATATATTAGGATATGGTTAATTCATTGTACTTTGGCTGGTGTGAATAATGTCTACGTAAGTACTGTAGTCGTATCCATATTGGATTAATGATGGTCCGCAGTAGAATAGTCTTACTAAGAATAATTTAACTATGTGTAAAATAAGGTAAAAGGTTGCCATGCGGATTGTAGCTGCGAATGCTACGGAAAGTATAAAAGCATGCAACTTTAGATTATTCTGTTAGTTCGTTGTAGAAGTCTTTAGAAGTAGTATTCGGCTAGAGTAGAGCTGTGTAGTTAATCTATGTATAAGATTCAATAAAGCCCTTATTTTTCTAAAATTTGGAATTTCGTGATTGGTATATATCACAGCGTATAAATATATATCAGCAGATTCTTAAAGAGAGCTACAATGACTAATGTTTTAAAATTTTTAAAATTGAATTAATGAAATATAGGAATCTGAATGATAATAAGCTAAAAAGGCTAGATATCTCGGATTTAGTGAATATTACGAACGATATATTAAAGCATCTGTTAGTATGGATTCGAAGTTTATGTCATTACCGATACAGTAGTAACGTCGGTGAGAATAGATAAATCGGAGAATTTCTAATACTAAATTTTGATTTTAGGCACTTAGCAAATAATTATCTAACAACAATAACTACCAAGAATAATATACAATTGAAAGCTCTATCACATCTGTAAGAATTTTATTAATGTCTTTTAATGTCTGTGTAGATGTTCTAATTTTAAAAGTATACAAACTTGTATCCATTTTAATTGTATCAGAACCATTTTAATAACGATATTTTGCTTAAAATTTCGGTAAATTTCACATTCAAAATCCCTAGAAACTTAATAAATAACAAGATAATAGATATTTGCTGGGGCAGCTCGTTGTCTACTGGTGCACCAAACGTTCAGAATTTGTAAGCTTGATTATGTACCGGTATTTAATAGCATACTTATGGCAAATATCAGACTCGTATACCATAAGAGAAATTTAAGCAGTTGATTGCAATTTATACAACTACATGAAAGAATAGTATTACCGTTTTATAAACGAATTTATAGAATACTACTAGTTGCTGAGTTCATTAAAGTCATTAAAATTTCGTTGCTAGAGGTAAAAAAAACTCGTTAGACTTAATGAAATAAATAACTGATGCTCTATTAAACTATAGGCAAGTGGACAACAATGGTATAAAAATATTGCGATCGAACTGCTTTTTTGGCTATACTAAATTGTACAGTGTGTAAGTATCTAATTTTACCTCATGCATCCGAAACAGTGCAATTTATTGATTATACTATATCACGAATGTAAAGAATTCTACTATACAATCAATATCATTATAATTTACGAAAGAAACCTAGTATCTTAGCAACAGATATTATTTGCAGATAATCATATTTGCTTCGATGATTGAAACGGCTTGTCACAACTTAAACTCTAAAGCAAGGAAACATGCTGTAAAACTCTATAAGTAAATACTGACTTAAATACTCTTTCACTAAACTTAAAATATACACAGCAAATACAATAAAGATAGAACATTTTATAACTATAAGACATATATACAACTTTTCATAGCACAATTCAACTCAAAATATTCCCATTTATATCGGAACCGCGTAACTTGTAAACAACAACAGTGTTATTATTATGCCTTACCAGAAAAACATCTCGAATTGAGAAGTTTCTTATGTAGTTTCTCCATCAGTAAATATTTTTAATCTACTATTCATACTTAATTTTAATCTGAGCATGTATGCTGTCCAAATTCAACTATCATTAGCTAGAACTTTAATCATCTTACTTCTATCTACACAAAATAGCAATCAATATCAAATTTGTAATAAACTATCATAAATATTATTCACTGTAACTTAACTAAAGCATTATTTATCTTATCTAGTGTAGTGTTCACATCTAAATACGGTATAGTCTATTTTTAGTAAAAGTATTAGTTTTCACTAGACTGCAGCATAATTCTAAGACTATAACATAATACTAAATATCTATGATCTATATTTAACAATTTACTCCGTGGAAATATCTTGTACTCTAGCTAACTTATACCTTAGCTTTAGCTTAACACAACAGTAACCTATTTTCATGAATCATTCGCGCCTATAAATAATTTCTTTTTGCTGTACTCCAGACATTATAAAAGCTATCTTCTTTCGTCTATTTCGTTAGTTAGTTAGTTCTGGTAGTTGCACGGTAAGCTTGCACACTTTACCTATTCTTCACTACTATAGTTGTTCAACTAGTAACGTCGTTACTTGCACGATAATCTTATACGATTATTCTCTTACACTAGCTCAATAAAGGTTACTCTCCCGTTAACTATTCTGTTGTACTTTACTGCGACTAATGTCGAACTCTCAACCTTCCGAAACATCACATCTAACACTACAAATATATGTATTTTTTAATATTTGCGAATATTATACTATTAAGCTATCCTAACAATAATTTAACACTGTAATACAGTTTTTAAATCTTATTCCTTCTAGATCGTTAATTAAGAATCCCTTAGTTCAAGTCAGTACAGCTTCGTTCCTTATTACACCGAAATTGAAACAAGTGTAAGTATATAAGTAGCGTCTTAAGATTAATAATGCATACTTCTTGTACAAAAATAAGGTATGCCCGTAAATTGAGACAACTGAAATTTTGCATCGTTACATTTCATGCGAAATGCTAACAGTAATCCTGAAAAATATTTATGAGCTGCTTTAAGGTCCTATTACTGAATAGCTAAGTTAATCATTTTTATATAGTTTATTCAAATCCATGTTATTCCTGTTTCTAATACAGATAGACAGGGTCCCTATCCTAATACTAAATTATAGTTTGTAATATTGAAAAACTTTATCATTGATTCTGAATTCTATCTTTCGTAATAAATTCAAAATTGTAATGTAACTTATTATTAGCTATGTAGACTGTGAGCTATGTTTAGTATAATCTACTATAGTGCGACTCTTGCTATATACAATTTAATATATAATTAATAGCTTATTGCTATAGACTGTAGCGGAAGATGCTTTGCTAGAGTGTAGATCTTTATATACAATAGGGTGTCGAGTTACTATTAAGGTTAGAGGTAAAATAGAATTATAACTCAAATATTAGGATACGGTTAGTTCATCGTGCTGACTGGTAAAAACAATGCCTATGTAAATGCTGTAGTAATTTTCATATTGGATTAGTGATGGTCTACTGCAAAATTTAGTTAGTTATACTAATCATAACGTGTGTAAAATATAATAAAACGTTGCTGTAATGAATATAGATGCAAATACTACTTAAAGTATATAAGCTGGCAACCAGAGTTATTCTAGAAGTTTTTTCTACTAGCTTTTACTAGTTGTATTCAGCTAGATTAGAACTGCACAGACATTATATTTGTATAAGATCTAATAAAGTTCTAATTTTCTACAATTTTTGGATATTTTCGATCGGTTGTATCATAATAAATTACTCACATCAACAAGTAAAATAATCAGAATAATTAATTATAGAAGTCGATACTTAATTCTATTAATTTATTTTCATAGATTTTCTACAAGAGAATATTTATGCTGTATTGTACCTCCTACAGTTTCATACTGTACCCCTTACATTGAACAAGATGCTTTTACGACTTGTTCAGATATCTTATCCCATCAATCTCTTCAGTTGTTTGTGTGGGTAGTTGGATCATTAGCATTAGTTGGCAACGCAATAGTTATCTATTTTCAAATGTTTAAAGTCAAGAAGAGTTCTGAACCTGTTCCAGCGATGCTTATTACCAATCTAGCATTTTCTGATCTAATGATGGCCGGCTATATTTTAATTATTGGCAGCGTAGATTTATTTTACCGCAATTATTACGCCGTTAACGCTGAAATCTGGTTACGCAGTTTCACATGTATCCTTGCTTGTTTTCTGTGCTGTACAGCAAGTTTAATGTCAGTATTTATGATGATTACAATCAGCATTGATAGATATATTTACATCGCATTCCCATATTCAAACAAGAATCTTTCGCCAAGCCTAACCAAATGGATCATTACTATACTCTGGATATTTAGCATCGTATTTGTCAGTATACCAGTTGGTTATAGTATTAATGCAAATGGCGATATGAGACTATACGAATATACGAGTATCTGCATGGCAAGCAACTATAACAATTACTATTATCGTATATGGCTCATTTCCTACGTGGTAATCACGTTAATTTGCTGGTTAATCACCTGCTTTCTTTATGTGCACATGTTTATCGCAATTTATAAAACCTCTAAAGCTGTTTCAGCAGTTTCTCATAATAATAGTAAACGAATTGCAATTAGATTATTCGCTATTGTTATCACTGATTTAATATCGTGGTTACCATATTACGTTTATATGGCTCAGATTATGGTTAAGCCAACCATTGCTGGCAGTGTTGTCTTGCAATTTGCGATTGTATTAGCATTGCCTATTAATTCTGCAATTAATCCATATTTATACACCGTCAGCAGCCCAACATTTATAAGATCGGCTAAACATCGCATCATAAAATGGGGTTGTGTAACAAGAATAGTTCCAAATAATACTAAAGAAATAGAAATTGGAATTAATAAAGACGAAAATATTGGATTGCGAACATTTAGCAGCAAGTCTAACGACAATATTACAGCTTCCACTAAAGATTGTTTAAGCAAGTAGAATCTTCATACACATGCATATTTATCACCTTCTGTAAAATGGTCTATAATATGCATAAAATGCAAAGTAATGATGGTTACCATGTAAGCTGTACGAAATAGCCGTAATATGCAAGAAAAATAAATAGTTAGATTTAGAAAGTAACTAACAATAATTCAATTAGTTTTGATTTATTGACTCACTGCATGCACGCGTACGGTTTTCACTATCACCTTGTAAAACAAGCATTAATTTTAGAAGTTTTGAGTTAAAGCATCATGGTATGATATTAAGTAACCTGTAATAGGCTGAGCTCACCCACAACAGGCGTAATTTTAAATCATTTTATTGCGAAGTTTAGTCTTAACATCGGTAGTGCAGCTAATAAGCTAAAGACTAAGATTATGGGATTGTACGGAAATAGATAAAACGTACGCTAGATTGTAAGATTGTGTAAGTGTCTAACAGTTCGTATAGAAGTAATTCTGTTAAGACGCTGACATTAGTATATGTCACAAATTCAACTTTGTGAGCGGTCCTTAAGACTAATACGACAGTTGTTTATCTCCAACTAACTTAGGTGATCTACTGATGGTAGACTAACTACTTCCACAGTAATACAACCTTTAGATCAGCTTAGGGTTTACTTATTTTATTATAAGTAATTTAGAATAGTAAGGGATATTCAACTTATTACCGCGTAACTAGTGAAACTTCTCTACTCTTCCAACTCTTCCTACTGCTGAACTCGAGCTACACTCTCGCTTATATAATGCTCGATTGTAATCGAACGTAACAATAACAAAAAAAACTTCGATACCACATTACACATGATTACGACTAAGCGATTTGTATGAGATTATTCTAGTAAGTCATAGTAATCAATATTAAATATTACCGAAAATGTTAAGTCATACAATACAATACTGTTATCACAACAAGTTCATATACCAACAATAATTTATAAACAACAATATCTTAATAAAAGGTGAGAGCCCTACTTCTAATAAATAACAAATATATGAGGACGAAATATTACTTCGTCACAGTATACTATAATACTGAAACTCTGTCAGCAACAATACTTTCTTAAACTTTATAATTTTGACAATGTAGTACTGTAACAAGTTCTTAAAGGCATCTAAACAAACCATTCAATAACCTATTACCTTCAGATTAATTTAAATAATCTGCTCTGCCTATTTATCAAAATAATTAACATGTGCCACAAACTTGTCTTTGTGATCGACTAAACTATTTTACTAGCTACTTAAAGAACTCCTACTAACTAAGGAGATAAAGTAATACTATGAATTAGACCATCTACTGTCTCACAAGTACTATAAGCGGCTAGAAGTTTGTTTAGCTTTTTAAGAGTCTTTTGTAATGAAATGAAAGCTGTAGAGATCAAGCAACAAAACTTTAACAAACTTTGATTCTACTTTCGTTGCACTCCGGTCGACTTAACGAAACTTTGACACCAAATAAAATTTTGGGAAATAATCGAACAACAATTTATTTCTAAACAAAAATGGAGAGATGTATAAACCGAACAACATTACAAATACTTAACTTTAAGTATTAATAAAATGAGTGACAGACTTAAAAACTGTTAACGACCAAACAGCCTTTCAAAAAGAAGAACGTTTTAACTTACGACAATTCGACCCCGAAGCCATTCAAATTCAACAAGTTCTTCAAAAGAATCTTCTTCTACTCTCTCTCTAAATTTTCTAATTGCACTATCATTTATAGGCTTCGTAGAGCCGTCAGAGGTTTTTAAAACTAAACATTTGCTAATCAATCGCTCTTAAGATCCGTTTTAGAAAACTACTTTTCTGACATTAGTATCGCTGAGTATTGACAGTTGATGTTTTAGCATCAGGTTGTACGGTAACTGTACGATTATAGACAACATTACATTACTTTACCGTCATGTTATAAATCCCCTTTCTCTAAGGATAAGGTTTTGTTACTAAGTCAAATTCCTTTACAATTTGAATAGACGATCAAACGCCCTTTCTTTAGATTAGGCAATTGCTTTCGGGCTACTTCTATAGTAATCTATATAATACTTTGTAAAATAATGAAGAAGAAAAGATGGCGACATTATGATTTGACAGGGTAAAACTTAAAGAGACTATCACTTTCTAGGTATTTTCTATAGTAAAATAATACTAGTTACATACTAAAAGCTACAAATAGCTCATATACATTTACCTTAAAGTAATGGGGCATTGTTGAAATATGCCGTTTGTACAATTTTACTTACATTAGTATTAGAATTAGAGATAAGTTTATAATATAATACGCTATAGAATCTAACATTAAACAACCTTAATTAATATAAATCAATTAACGATCAATTAAGACCTAGAGAATTAGCACCACAAAATCATCTAAGAGACCTGTCACGGTACGAACCACCGTGAAGAGTAAATGACTAAATTTAGTGTTTAACATTTATAAATGGAGATAAATAATAATGACTTACAGTAAGAACCATAGTAGTTTTTATTTTGTTACAGTAAATTATGCTTTATTGTAGTAAAACTTCTCATAAGGTAACTAATATTAATTGATGATAGTGTTATGTCTTGTGACGCTTGTGATGAATATCCTGAAGATATTCAATTATAGATGATACTATAATTAGTTATGTGTGTGGACACACTGTAGTCTAATTATCTAGAATCGTTCAGTAAAAGTTCAAATTTATGAATAATGTCTGTATTAATTTTGCTATCCAATATGAGCTAAATTTCGTGAACTGTTATGACTCATACATGATAACTGCTGCCGAAGGGTATTCAAGCTCGGCAGATAGTTGAATGAAATAAGAGTTTCATAGTTGTTTTAACGTAGAAGCAAAGACATCTAAATTCTTGTGAGGTAGTTAAGGGATACTGAATCCCGGAGACTACAGTAATTTAGAGATTTGTTTTACGTTATCTTTGTCACGAAGTTGGTTTGTGACAAGACCCAAATTAATAATTACTCAATAATAAGTAAGGTTGGTGCTAAATCAAATAGCATAAACATAATCATGTCATATTCCATAATCACTCCCAACTAGAAATTAATTTACACTTAACAAGAATTAACATCGTGACAACATATATAACATTGTCACAATTTCACTTCTACGATAAGGTAACGTACAGTAAATGTCTATAAGTAGCTACTGACTTAAACGCCGTTTTACTTAACGTTAAACTCATACAGCAAAAACTGTAAAGATGAAGCTATTAGCAAAGATACATCTACAACTTTTTACCACACCACTCAACTCAAACGTTCCCGTTTTATATAGGAACCGTCTAATTTGTAAACAACAACAGTATTATTATTATACCTTACTAGGAGAATCATCTCGAACTGAGATATTCCTTACAAAGCTCTTCTATCAGTAAATATTTTGAATCTCTTACTCATACTTAATTTTAATCTAAGCTCGTAGGTTGTCTAATTCAACTATCATCCACTAGAACTTCAATCACCTTACTGCTATCTATCACACAATAACAATCATTATCAAATATGTAATGAACTATTACAAACAACATCCAAGTTAAGGCATTACTTAACTTACCTAGCACTACAAATATGGATATTCTCTATACTATCTACTACTATAATTACTATATTATCCTAACGACAAGACAACACCGTAACAAACAAGTATGTAATTAATCGCAAAAAGTTTAAACGTAAATCACGTACATTAAAATTTCTATACAAGATGTGTTATAAAACTAACAAAAATTATAAAATACGTCGCAGTTTGCTATACCTTATTACATGAACCATCCTTTAGGAGGCTGTGACAGTATTAGATACTGTATTAGAGTAGAAATATCTGTGTTAAGATAATTTGGTTAGCCTATCCTTATTTAGTTAACTTCTAATTTGAATATACTGTGTTTTAATATAGCACTGGCTTTTTATGACGATGACATACATACATATACTGGAATTAGTAGTTATATTAACTATTACTCATAAAGTATTGAGGAGGAGTATATAAATGCAGTAAATCGTGTAATAAAATAAATTCTTAAACTTAGTGTTTAGCGTAAATAGCGAGGCGTCTAAGTCTTCGTGTAGTCTGCTAGTAGAGCAAAAGTGTTCCTGATAGTGCAGATATCGTTCCTTGATGCATAGTTCAAGGAATTAATTCATTGATCGTACGTTACGTTATCTTGTTGCAAAGCTTTTTTTTGCTAGAGGCCAAAAGATGAACGTTTTTAACATATTCGCGTAACGACCGAGTAATAATAGTCTCTTGCTGTTATTGTTCGTTTGCATACGTTATTCAAAATTTTAGTTTACAGAAATTGAGTGATTCTCTAAAATGCGACACACGAAGGTCAACACCGAAAAAATGGCCTTGAATAATAAGGTTTATTGATACGGCAGTGTATCGAAGAAGATTCCAAATTCTTCTCCTCATAAGAACAGTCGAAACGACTACGATAAATATAATACCACTTGAACAAATTTACAATCAAATTACTTCTATACAAACTAATAAATGCTTCCATTCTATAGCAGACACAAAAATTCGCGAATGTAAAAGCTCGGTTTAACACCTGGCAGAAATAAACAGGATGATTATACTGTAACTCTTATATTGAAGAAAGTCTGTATAATCCTATATTTGGCTATCAGATACGACCTTAATAGGAGAATCACAGTCTAGTCGGCGGAAATTAACGATTTGCAAATGATATGCAAACGACGCATCGCGCGACGCTCGTCGCCGGTCGCTGGGTTTTCATCGCTCGTGTGAAAGTTTATACTAGAAACAGTGCAAGTGCGCCATCTCATCTTATTAGCCACCCTACTGTACTGCTACAACTAGCTGAAATCATTTTAATTAGTTATCATGGTAAAATCTTAATTTACGTAATTTCATTAATTGCTATAGCCGAGGATAGGTGCTTGCTTTCATCAGCATCTAAATTTACCAAACCTACTTCTATTTATCATCTTACATGAAGTAATAATGACAAAGTGTA